AAGCCACTTTCAAATTCTCCCTTGGCTATATGAGTATCACAAAAGGCCACAGACAATTCATCGTGTCCTGGCATAGCCTGCCTTACAAGACTGTTGTCAAAATACTGCTCTGAGCTCTTCAGAGGAAGGGTGCCGTATAAATATTAATGGGTAATTAAACAAAACTTAAGTGTAAATGCTGCCAACCAATTACAGAATGTTAGGTGATTAAATCATCTGCTTTTTAACCCAGTTAATCAATTACAGGCACTTGCAGGCAATTATTTCCTCCAAGTAATTATAACTGCTGCATAGTAAGGTATTAAAGCCAGTGTGCTGGGTTTTCTAGGCGTCTGACCCCATCTTCATGCCTGTGCAGGAAACCTAGAATCTTAGTAAGTGGTTATGGGAAAATCAGGTGAAAGGGCTGCCAGCGGAGGGATGAGGTCTCTTTTATCCATCTCTTTCTTTTTGCTCCGCTTCTGCCTGGTGTCTTTCACCAAAGTTTGAGCTACATCTGAATGCCCCTGGTTGTGCTGAAGCAGGTGTACCATGGTGTTTCTTCTCTCTGTGCTCCTCCCCAGGGGTAATTCCTCCTTTGGTCATTGCTGTGGATGCATGACTTGTTTTCAGGCACTGTGGTAGTCTGCAAGGAATTACCACATGGTGAGGTTGATGTCGCCAACCTTCGTGTGCCATTTGCAGGCACCTTTGCAATGCAGATGGGACGCCGGTGGCGCTGTGGGTTATACCACAGAGCCTAGGACTTGCTGATCAGAAGGTTGGCCGTTTGAATCCCTGTGAGGGGATGAGCTCCCGTTGCTCGGTCCCTGCTCCTGCCAACCTAGCAGTCCGAAAGTACGTCAAAGAGCAAGTAGATAGATAGGTATCGCTCTGGCGGGAAGGTAAACGGTGTTTCTGTGTGCTGCTCTGCTTCACCAGAAGCGGCTTAGTCATGCTGGCCACATGACCCATACAGGGAGCTGTATGCCGGCTCCCTCGGCCAATAAAGCGAGATGAGCGCTGCAACCCCAGAGTCGGCCACGACTGGACCTAATGGTCACGGGTCCCTTTACAATGCAGAGTTGGTCTGCAAATGGGCCTGGTGCCTGAAGCCAGCTCCCCATAGAGCACGTCCTTGGGGATCCTGCCATCTTCCATTCTGTGGGCATGACCAAGCCAGGGTATGTGTTGCTGAGACAGGAATGTGTGCATGCTGGGAATGTGGGCTTGGAAGAGCACATCTTTGTCTGAGACTCTGTTCTGCCATGTGTTGCTCAAAATATTCCTGAAGCTGTGCATGTGGAAGACATTGAGGCATTGCTTCTGGTGGTTGTAAGTTACCCACGACTCACCTCCATAAAGAGGTGTGCTCAACATGCAAGGCTGGTAAACCTTCATCTTGGTCTTGGTATTCATCTTGGCTAGCATCCCATTCTCCCATACCCTTTTGGAGAGGTGAGCCATTGCTGTAGCTGTCTTGCCAATATGCTTGTCCAGCTCAGCATTGGTGGAAAGGTTGCTGGTGGAGCCCAGGTAAAAGAAATCATCTACCACTTCAAGGATGTGACTGTTAGAATTCCTGCTCCATGATTGCAGTCATGGGATTTCTGTCTATCATGTGACGGTATATGTTTTGACTCCACAAAGTGGGAAGTGAGGGAGACAGGATGTTTGTCTTACCGTGTTCCGTGAAGTGGGACTATTGTCCTTTGTTTGTTCTCTTTACTGTCTGATGCTAGAGAGAGAGGGAGCCATGTTGCAGTGCTCCGTGTGTGTTTATTTGTAAATAAAGTAGAATAGCCGAAATGCTGAGTTCTGTCACACGAACTGCGCAGACTCTGCGGAACCCAAAGTGTGCCGATGTCTGTTGGCATCGGTCACTGTGATGTTTGGGCTGAAGAAAGCTTTTGAAGCTCCCGAATGATTGACCAGGAGGGAGAGAACATGCCAGTCGGGAATGTGTCTCTGCCAGGGTCCTACTTGAGTGTAGGACGAGCTCCTGACCACCAGTGCTGATACATGGAGTGCTGGCAATGTCCTAACCCAAGATATTAGTGTCTGTCAGGCTGATGGTAAAGCTAAATTCCCCGCAGACTTGAACAAAACAGTTGAGGAGTCTTTGTAGAGCTTCCTCAGAGTGCACAGTCAAGGCTGAGGACAGGATGTTGGAGTAGATGTTTCTTTGACCAGACCCAGCAGGGCTCTTCTTATGAACTGGGATTTCAATGAAACCCAAATTGTATGCTTGACTCGTGTCACTGGATAAGCATCCTTGCTTGACATTTGCCCCTTGCTCCTGCTTGTTATCATGACCCCAACAGCACTCAGAGCTGCCATGCTCTTAGTTGCAATAGTGGCAGTTTTGCCTTGGAGTAATCTAGGCTGTGACCATACATGACTGCCTACATTTGATGCTCCCAGCTCCTATTTCAAGACACATTTCTTTGGTTGCTTCCTACAAAGGCAAACCAACTGCAGGCATGCTATAGAAGAAGATGGAGCCCCAGAAGATCTGGCCTCCTTTGTGCATGCTGCAGAGTGTGTGTGCCACCTGCTGAGCTCCTCATAATAAGTGTGAAATATTTATCTGTCAATATTTCCCAATACCCCCCTAAGGTGTATCTTTCAGAAGATTTCTGCATGAGAGGCTCTTAAGTGCCTTCAAATGAAAAAGAAGAAGAAAGTGGGGGAAAACAGCAACAACCTTGGCTATTCAGCAACACACATTTCCCCAGAGAAGCCCCTGGAGTTACTTATCATTTCCCCCCAGTTATGATAGGATTTATCTTTTGTCTTCCGGGCTCGGCATTCACTTTGCAAATTCTTTCTGCCTTCTTGGATACAAGGCGGCCTGACAATGGGTCCTCAAAGGCATTGGCAGAGGGGATCGGTCTGCATGTTCCTTTTGTAAAGGCAACTGTTTACTTCGGCACAGCCGGTCGATTAAACTGCAGGCGGCTCTGCATTTGCTTTCTAGCGAAAGGACCCCAAGAGGGTGGTGGTGGGAGAGGGAGAGAGGGAGTCAAGAAGCTGCTAAATAGCTCCTGGCAAGAAAATGCAAAAATGCTAACTTTGCTTAGGTCGTTTAATTAAATGGTCAAGTCAGCTTTTTGAAAGGTGTGTGTGTTGTTTTCATGTGCTTTAGCAATCCCTCAGGGATTGCCCATCCCGTACACCATAACACCATTCACAAGTTACATTTCCCCCACTATCAATGTCACCACAGTCTCTATTAGGAGAAGACTTCCTCTCCTGCTCTCCTTCTCCAGATGGTGCTCTCTGCTACTCTGGAGCTAGACTAAAAATCTGTCCCTTCATCATGATGGGGTTGAGGCTGTAGCTCAGGGGCAGAACGTCTGCTTCGTATGCAGAAGATTCCAGGATCAACTAGGGATGTAGGAATCTGTCAATCTTGGTGTCTCTCGGTATCTTACTTGGCCTGCCTCAGCTTTAGTGTTCTGCATTTCCACATCAGTTAGCAATAATAATAATAAAAAAAGTCCCTGTGAAAAATTCATCAGTATTTTTGTGCGAATTTCCCCAAACATACACATGTTTCCTAATGCAATGCATTTGTATGTGGGGTTTTTTTAAAACAACAACAACAGCAGCAACTACAACAACAAACAAATATATGCATTTTTAGGCACACTTTATACCCTGGTTTATGCATTTTTGGACACATTACTGACACTAACTGCATATTTATGGATATTGTTTATGTATTTTGCTATGCAAATCATTTGATTTTTTTTTGGAGGGGGAAGGACACATATTGCCTATGTAAACTGCTTTAAGATCTTTTAGCTAGTAAAGTGGCCTATGAATGGAAATAATAAAAATAAATAACTAAATAAAGGAATAGTGCCGGAGCCTGTCAGCAATGACTAACATATCCTCAGAAGTGGTGGTTAAAGTCTGAAAAAAGTGATTCTCAAATGCCTTCCACTCTATGGGGAAAAATGGTGAGTGGAGGATTAAAAAACATGCTTCTGCTAGCTTGTATTTATTCCACAGATAGCAAACAGGAAAGAAAAAAAAGTAGGAAGGTCATAAATTCAGCTTCCTGCTTGCCAAGCAAGCATTTAAAAAAACCTGACACAAGAATCTTTCTCTCTTTTATGTGTGTATACTAATGGTGGGAAAGATGCTAAAAAAATATACCTCAAGTGACATGTGTGACGTCAGTCTAAAAAATTAAGGGGAATGGAACACACTTTCCTGCTTGTCATTATGCACTGCATCAATCCTTTGCCTGAAGACGAGAAGCGTGTTTGCATTGAATGCTTGTTTGCATTGAAGTTGTGGGTTTTATATATAAAGAAATATGAATTGCATCAGCAAGAGAGTGCTCAGAATTAATAGGATCAGAGTTGGTGGCCAGGTGAGGAAGGGGAATTTAACCCTTTCACTACAGCCTAACTAGAGCCTTGCCGCATCACACTCAGAGGCATCATCTAGTCCAGCACCCTTTTGCTACAGTGACCAGACTAGTGTATGTGGGGAGCTCACAGGTAGGACCCGAGGGCACCCTCCCACACACACACTCCCTGTACTCCTGCCCTTTCCTGATGAGGTGCTGAAGAACAGCCCTTCTCTGAGGGGCACTGCTGGTATTCCATTTGGAGGAGGGGATTTCCTGCCAACAGAGTTGAGAGCTGAAGCTCATAATTGTTCTCAGAGGAAATCCGTTATTGGTGCCTGCGATGGGACACATCCTGAAATATACTCAGAGTCCTGTAGTGATTTCATGCTCTTTATTGCAGTGATAGAATTGTCCCCCTAAACCTCAGGCTTTTATATGCATTATTTACACAATGAGTTCCGTCTGATTGGCTGATTCTACTTCCCTCCTGGAGCCTGATTGGTCTTTTCCTGCAGGCCAATCAGTTGTTGCATTCTATGATCCTACCAGCCTAATAGGCTGATTAACTTCCTCCTGGAGCCTGATTGGTCTTTTCCTGCAAGCCAATCAGTCATTGCATTCTAGAATCCTACTTGCCTATTGTTCTAGGATCCAAGCTTAGTACATAACACATCCCAACCCCGTGGGTCCTGTGCCACCCGGGGAAGGAGAGACCCAGCCATTTTCTCTGATGAGGAAAAACATAGTGTTCTAACAGTGTGAGTCTGTGGGTGGTATCCAACTAAATAATTGCACTCAGGCAAGAATCGCTGCTGGTGCAATGGGACTTTCTTTGCTCTCCACCCCTATGCAGACCACCACCTTATCTGCTCCAGAAAGTTGGGGGAACCCCCAGAACAGATTTAGGGGGCAGGTGGTGGGAGGAGAGGGGGAGAACATCCCACTGCACATGGAGAAATCCTTGTGCTGATGGCACCCTAGCCTTCACCTGTGGTTTAGTGGTTAGAGTGTCAGACCAAGACTTGGGAGATCAGGGTTTAAATTAACCATGAAGCTCACCGGCTAGTCATGGTCTCCCAGCTTAACCTACCTCACAGAGTTGTTGTGAGGATAAAATAGGGGGAACCACATACACCACCTTGAGTTCCATAGAGTAAAAGGTGTGATGGAGAGACTGACTGGCTGAAATGTCCCCAAACCCTGAGGTTTAATTCAAACCCCTTCTGTAGCCCCTATACCTGACTCCTCCACAAAACCCTTTCTCAATCTCCTTTGTCCATGTGCTCTGCTTGTGTTTTGTACCAGCCCAGCCTTTCCCAGCCTGGTGCCCTGCAGATATTTTGGACCACACCATCCATCAGCTCCAGCAAACCATGCTGATTGGGAATGATGGGAGCTGTAGTCCAAAATATCTATCTGGAGGGCACCAGGTTGAGGAGGTCTGTATTGGCATGAAGCAAGGCTGGGAGATAAGAATAACAGAATGCTTCATATCTGTTTGCCCTGATGCTTTCATTGATACCCAATGAGGTCATTTTGTGAGGCTTTACAAAATAGATCACCTTGCCCTTTGCAGGGCAAAATCATCTTGAGGTCGTTTCCCCACCCCACATTATTCAGCAGCCTAAGCCATCATCAGTAACCTTCTAAATAGAGCAGTGACAAACTGCTTTGACAGAATGACATTTCCGACAGATGGCAACATCATGCTAATTCTACTTGGAACATCTTTCCTCCTCTGAGAGCATTCCAAAATTTAGGTGCATATTAAAAGACCACAGTTTGCAAAGTGTTGCTGAACATTCCAATAATACGCAGTTTAAGCATTTTTTAAAAAGAGAAAAGAACACAGCCTCCAGGGAACTTGCCGTCATCTGTCAAAATGCAAAGGGAGGTGGGGGAGGGAGGAGCTTTGTTGACTTGTTTGTGATTTGATTTCTTAGATGGAGTCTGCGGGGTAAAGGCACTCATCAGCTGCACCAAACAGTGATTCTCAGCTGAATGCAATGTGTTGGAGATCTGTGTTTACAGTGAATAATGCAGTCCACCAGTTACCATGAGCACAATTAAAAATATGCATGCACACATAAACAAACAGGTACAAGGGCCCTGTTTCTGATACATCAGATGAGTCATAGTCGTCAGTTTGCTCATGATGGTATAAATTATGCAGAAAGGGTGTACCTGCATACATTTGCTTATTTACCCAATTTGTTCTGCTTCTGCTGGCAACAGGGGAAGGCAAGTGAGCTGAAAAAGGCTTTTGGTAAAGCTGTGCATCTCCCAACAACCCTCTGCTCTGCCAGTTTCATTTCTCAGCAAGTTCTAGGAGACCGGGGGGAGGGGAGCTGGTCACAGAGGAGAGGGAGACTCCCTGGATTCTTCAGCAGCCTATCTCCACTCTGCCTCTTAGCCACCCTCTCCTCCAGCCTCTGCTTCAGCCTCAGAGTCTGAACTGCTCTCTGTCACAGCCTCTTCCTGTTCACTAAACCCTGCCACCTCTTCTGCTTCTGATACTTCATTCTCCCAGTCTGCTCCTTCTTCCTCTGAACACTCATCTTCATCATCCCACCACCAATCCCCTAGCTCTGAGACTCCTTGCCCTGGGAGTTCCCTAAGGGGTTCTCCAGCTGGTTCCCCCCCCCACTCCTCTGCATTCAACCAGTCCATGACATGTGCATGCTGAAAAAAGAAAATGAGCCCCATCCCACAATAAACACCCCTCTGGATGCATCCTCAGGAGTCGTCACACAAATCCTTCCAGCTTCTCCCTATTCCCAGGCAAACTCTGCTATAAAAACACCCTTTACATTTTCCGTTTTAGTTAATGAAGGACTATTATCTGATAGGATCATCAAGAGCTATTTCCCTCACTTTGGCTTTGCAGTGCAGCCTAGACTCAGGTAGCTTCCTCTTTTGCAGCTGTAAAATTCTCTGAAGAACTCAGGTAATATTAGATTGAGCAAATGCGTTATGTAGGACGACGAGGTACCCTCCCAAAAAGTAGGGGTGGGAAGGAGTGTTGATTAAAAGAGGCTAAATAAGTACAGTGGTACCTCGGGTTAAGTACTTAATTCGTTCTGGAGGTCTGTTCTTAACCTGAAACTGTTCTTAACCTGAAGCACCACTTTAGCTAATGGGGCCTCCTGCTGCTGCTGTGCCGCCAGAGCACAATTTCTGTTCTCATCCTGAAGCAAAGTTCTTAACCTGAGGTACTATTGCTGGGTTAGCGGAGTCTGTAACCTGAAGCACATGTAACCTGAAGTGTATGTAACCCGAGGTACCACTGTAGTGTTGTGCATTAGAAGGTTCAGTGTAAGAGATTACGGCTTGGAGGAACAGCACACAGAAATGAAATATTGCTTCTGGGATCTTTAGAGAAATCTGCAGGGCAGATATATCTTCAGAGTGCTTCCCAGATCTCCTCCACTCTCTCCTGTGTGTGTCTATGTGCTTGCAGAAAAAGGCAATTCTAAAGGGACAGTTAGGTGCAGAACATGCTCACTCAATGGGCCACTGGGCAGCTAAGAGGACTCAGGGGTGGCTATGTTGCAGGGAGTTTGCATACCCTTCATGCACTTCTGAATTTCCTCAACCTGACAGCTGTGCCAACTGGCTGCCTTTTGATCTAGAGCCTGCCTGAGCTTCTGCTGGCAAGGTGGCACGCAATGCCGGTCCTGTCAAACTTCTCCCTTCCACTTGAGGGAACTGATCTTTTGCACTGAGACCTCGCAGAGCATTGCAGGCTGCACTTGTCAGACACAAGGTAGGATGCAAAGAAGGTCATGGTTCATACTTCTGTACAGACTGCCATTTGTGCAGGTGAAGCTCAGCATGTGATAATAAAAAAATGCAGAAACTTATTCTCTCTCTCTCTCTCTCTCTCTGGCTGTTAAAAGCTCAGGAGCACAACCCTCTTTTTTATTTCATCACCCTATCAGAAGATAACGTAAGAATCTGATAGATCAGCCAATGGCTCATCTAGTTCAACTTTATCTTCTAACAGTGGTCAACCAAATGCCCATAGAAAGCCCACAAGCAAGACTTGAGCACAACAGCACTCTCCCCTCCTGTGGTTTCCAGCAGCAGGTATTCAGAAGCATAGCACCTCTGACAGTGGAGATACAACATAGTCCTCATGGCCAATAGCCATTGGTAATGCCAGATCTCTAGCCCGATTGGCTGATAAGCCAATGAAGAGGAGTCCACCACCTTTCAAGGTAGTCCATTCCACTGTTGAGCAGCTCTTACCTTCAGAAAGTTCTAGTTGGAATCTCCTTTCTTGTATTTGAATCCATTGGTTCAGGACCAACCCCATGAAGTAGGAGGAAACAAGCTTGCTTGACCTTCCATGTGACAGCTCTTCAGATATTTGAAGAGAGGTGTCACATCACTTCTCAGTCTTCTCTTCTCCAAGGGCAATCAAGGACAGTTTGAGCCCACTTAAGGCTCAAACAAACACCAGCTTTTCAAGCACACATGAATTTCCTTTTTTGTCATTTCCAGTGCAATCCCATACATGTTTACTCAGTTCTATGGGACTTAGTCCGAGGGAACTGCACATAGGTTTGTGTAAAAACAACATTTTTACATGTTGTCATGTAAAAATGACAACACAAACATTCTGCCTTTGTTACTTGCTTGGGTGGTAATTCATTTTAAAACAATGTTTGACTACTTCCCCTGATAAATATTTTGGAAATGTATTTCCTAAATACTTACCTTCAATGTATATTGTCCATAACGGAGCATCAGTAAGTATTGTTTTTAAAAAGAGGCATAGGTCTTCATTGTCTGAGTGGTGGTGCTTAGGAAACAATTAGGCAGCTGAAGCTCATCAGTTCCCATTAAGTCATGGCATAAGACAGGTGTGGGGAATTTTTGGCCCTCCAGAAGTTCCTAAGCAACAACTCTTATCAGCCCCATGGAGCATGACCAATGGCTAGGGAGATGTCCTCCAACATCTGGAGAGCCAAAGGTTCCCCATACCTGGCATAGGGGTTGGTGGGATCCAGATCCTGTGTAATTAAAAAACATTGCAAGATAGTCGTGAGTAGACCGGCAAGCTATGCAACATCCACCACAATCCAGTGCAGTTAGACATCCCAAAATAAAATCTCGTTGATTATGAATGGAACTGAAATGCCTGCTAAACTCCGTGGGATTGCTCCATCAACATTTGTGGACCTTACAAGCTTCTTCATTTCAGTCTTTTGCCATTTCCCACTAAGCCCAGAAACAAGAACAACAACAAAACCATTGCCATCAGAGGCAAAATTTATACTCATTTCAAGGACCGGGCACCACAAAATAAGGCAGCAAACGGTCATTTTTATGGCCTTACATCCCACTTTAGCTGCAGACGGATTTGTCATTATTGCCATGAAATTTAGCAGAGGATGTGCTCTCCTTGGTTGCTATAGCAGCCGGCACCGACTCTTTCTGTGATACAGTAACTAATTTTGTTTAATTGCATTTCTATACACTCCATTTAGACAAATGAGCACAAGTCGCAATTAGCCAGATAGGGAGGCTAAATCTGAGCTGTGAGTAATGATTGTGGATGGCACAGATTTGGGGAGGAGGCACTTGGCTTGAGGTGCCTTCCAAGGACTTGATGTGCAAGGAATGTCAAAAAGGAGACTTGTCTGAAATGATGCATGCTGGATGCACAGAATTTACATTGATTATAGGCTCTGATATTTCATCAATGATTTTTTTCTAAAAAAAAGAAAAAGGTCAAGGGTGTGTGTGTAAATGCAGAAGCAAGAAGGAAGCAATGACTATCACACAGTGGATTAAAAACTGTATGACATCATGTCACAACACTCAAGCGGCTTCCAGGCACTTGAGAATTTCCCCTAGTTTAGTTAAATAATCGTTAACAATTTTCATAGCACTTTAGCTGCCCAAAGGGCTTTGTAAAGCTTAGGTTTTCTGTTCCAACAGTCATATGAAATAAAGCTTTAATACTTTTGCAGAACTTTTACAGTATGGGGTAACAGCTATAAAATAGTGACATACCCAAAATAGTGACGTTCTATTTAATAATAGTAATAATAGTAGTAGTAGTAGTAGTAGTAGTAATACACCGCCCACTAAACATTTACAAAATCCCTATACAGCGCTGCCTTCAGATGTCTTCTAAACATTGTATAGTTACTTATCTCCTTGGCTCAGGGGTCACATAATTCTATACCCTCCAACATTTCTCTGATGAAAATAGGGACATCCTAAGGAAAAGTGGGACATTCCAGGATCAAATCAGAAACTGGGATGGCTTCTGTAAAAGCAGGACAGTCCCTGGACAATGGGGACACTTGGGGAGTCTGGGAATGGCTGGTCTGGTCAGGCAGTGGTGGCAGAGGTGCCTGTCAGACAGTGGCAGCACTCCTGCCTACTTGGGTAGTGACGGGACAGAGCGGTGGTGAGATCAGGGCATCACGGCCAAACCAGATGGAGAAGTGGATCGGCTCTACTTTGAGCCAGGGGCGTCTTACCCATAGAGGCTAGTGGCGTGGGGTGCCAGGGCACCAAGTTCTGGAGGGTGCCAGGGAAGAGGCAGAGGCCGGACGCAGAGCTCGCCACCCTCGCCCGCCTCCGCGCCAAAGCAGCACCGCACCCGGAGCCTCCGTCTGCCGTGGCCACTGCGGCACAAAGCGGACAGGTGAGCTGGGAGGTGCTGCCTCCAGCTGGAGGAGCCGCCCTCCAGCCGCTGCCCGCCACCTCCAGCCCCGCTGGCAGTGCCGTCGACAACTCTGGGAAATGGGGGAGGGGCGCGCCAGAGGGAGCTTTGCACCACGGTGCTGGATATGCTTAAGACAGCCCTGCTTTGAGCCTACACAGACCCAGACTCACTGGTGCTGGCATCTCCTGGTAAGTGGTGGGGATGTCACTGTTGGCAGGCTGCGTCGTGCCATCTGCTAGTGGCCACCCCTGCTCCCAACTCTGCATCCCCATGACTGCGTTACCCCAGTCATTGAGTGTTGAGAATCAGAGTCTGAAAAGGGAATCCTTTGCACAAGCAGCTGCAGAAGCACAGCCCCACTCCAGCTGCTGTGGGTGAGTATATGCATGAATAGGACTTAGGAGGCTCAGCATAGCTAT